TTCCATCTTCTTTTAATACTTCCTGGATCATTTAACATTCTGCCGAAAGCATCCTTAATTATAGCAGCTTGAGGTTTGAATTTGTTCGTCAGTTCCATGAGCTTAAGATATGCTGAGTGAGTTCGGCCCTTTTGATTTTCTGACTCCAACTCCTTGCACATTTCATTGTAATATTTTGCCTTGTCATCCAGTGCTGCCTTTTGAAATCTTCTATTCAACTCTTTGGTATCTTGAATTCTTCCCTGTACTTTGGCTCCTCTGTGCTCCAGTGCAATTTTCAGAGTATCTTCTGACATCCATTTTGGTCTTTTCTTCCTCTTCTGTCTTTGCAAAGATCAAATTAGCAACAGCAAATAAAAAAGTGGGACATTAGGGTGCAAAGACTGTATACTAAACAGAGAAGGAGCAATTTCAAAAGGAAGGTAAAACCCCAAGTAATTGTCACTGACTTGTAGAAATTGTTGCATCTTGCAATAGAAATTGTGTATGTCTGACTGGGTATGTTTTCAACAGCAAATATAAAGAATAGTAGGACTTTTAAAAATAATGTTTTAATACATTTTCCACACCAATTTAGAAAGAGGTATTATTTCCTCAAATTTATAACATAGGAATTCAAGTCTAATAATAGAGTTTTACTTCTAAGTTTTATTGTGATATGGTTGAAAGTTTACAGAGGAAATTTGCTTTGTACTCAACAAGGTATACACATTTTAATTCATGACATTAATGGCACTCCTCTTTCCTACTCCTTCCTTGTATTTACTATTTTCATTCACTCTCTTTCCTACCCTTCCCTGATTTCTGAGCTTTATTGCAGTGCATTTAATAACTTTTTGATCTTGTATCTTTGGTTGTTCTGAGTGTGTACCTCCCTGATGTCTTTCTTTGGCATGTCTCTTGTTTAGCTGAGGATACGTTCACAGCGATGAGTCCAGTTTTAGATTTGCTGGATGGTTTTAAGGGCCTTGTAATCTGTATCTACTGCTGTTGAGTCACTTCTGACTCTGGGTCCTCGTACAGGACAGAGCAGAATGGCTTCATTGGGTTTCCAAGGCTATACATTTTTATGAGATCATCATGGATTTAGAAATTAAATACCTTTCTACCCTATAGCTTATTTGTGCATAATAAGATATTTCACCCATGAAAACATATTTGTATATTTTTCTTTTTGTTAATGAAAAGTATTTGGATAATGTTTTTAGATTTCCAAAGCGTCCTCCTTTCTTAGCCTGTTGTTGCACAACCGCATATAACAGAATATAACTGTCCCAGTGTTTTCTAGACTGTATCTTCATAGGAGCAGATCGACACAACGAACTTTATTACAAAGAAAAATAAATTTTATTATACATATTTCCCCCTTTCATGTGTACTTTTAAAAGTACATTTCTTCCTAAATCCTAGACAATTATTTTAATACTTGGTTGTTATGTTAGGTGTTGACAGATTGACTACAGCTCATATTGGTTCTGTGAGCAGCAGATCTGAACTTTGCTATATCCTGCACTATCCCCACAATTTCTGATACGCTGGAGCCCATTGTTAGTCACTGAGTCAAACTGTCTTGTGGAGTGCCTTCTTTTTTTTTCTGACCCTCCACATTTCTCAGTGTGAGGTATTTTTCCAAGGACTGTCCTCTAATGACAACTTTTCCAAAGTATGTGGGATGAAGTTTCACCGTCTTTGCCTCTGTGGAACATCCTGGTTGCACTTCCTTGAAAATAGATTTTGTTTTCTTGGTAGACTTGTTATTTTCCTGCCTTTTCTTTCAGAGTTAAAAGACAGCAGCTTCCCCACTCCCCACCATAAGAAGTTACTGTGATTACAGTCTAAGGAATTCTTTCTAAAGGATATGGAGAAATTTGTAGATGTCTTCAAAGCATTGTTTTATGTATGTTGTTATGTGCCGTTGAGTCACTTGAGACTCATAGTGACCCTATGTACAACAGCCCTGAAACTTGCTCTATTCTTTGCCAACTTTACTGTCTCTAACACACCTATCCTTAATACCCCAGTCACTGTATCAATCCATCTCATCAATGGTCTCCATCTCTTTCTCCATCCTTCCAAGCATGATATCCCTCTCCAAGGGCTGTCCCTCTTTGTAACATGACCAAGCTATGTCAGAAGAAGCCTCATAATCCTTGCCTCCAAGGAGCAACCAGGCTTCACCCACTCTAGCACAAACCTGTTTATTCTCCTGTACCACAACTCAAAGGCATCCATTTTCCTAACATCCCCAGTCATTGTCCAGTTCTTTGACGCATAGCAAGCAATTGCAAAGACTGTGATCTTGATCAGGTGCACCTTAGTCTCTGGACTGACAATGTTGCTCTTTAGTACTCTTGAGAGGTCCCTGACAGCTGACTTTCCCAATGCAATTAGCCTCTTGATTTCCTAGCTGCTGGTACCAACAGTGCTGATTGTAGAGCCAAGCAAACTAAAGCTGTTAACAATCTCAATCACCTCACCACCTGTCATAATGATGTCAATCAGTCCAGTGGTAAGAATCTGTTTTCTTGATGTTTAGCTTCAATCCATGTTGAAGGCTGCAGTCTTTGATCTTCTGCAGCAAGTACTTCTGGTCAGTTTCAGCAAGCAGGATTTTGTCATCTGCATAATACAGATGGTTGATGAATCTTCCTCCAATCCTGATGCCAAATTCCACCCTATATAAGCTCAGCCTCTCAATCATTAATAATGGAACTAACCCATTAGAAGTCCCTCATCCCTGCTCCCTCTTCATTCCCTTCATTTTTCTGATAAGGAAACAAAAATACATGAATAATCAAATTAACATTAGTGGTAAATGGAAGGACTGTCAGACCAACCAAATTATTCTCTTAATTTTTTTAAATGATAAATGAATTGAAAAATAAATAAATAAATGCTGAGTCCTTTTGGCTGGCTGCGTAGTGCCATGGCAGTCAGTAAAAACAAACACCTTACAAAAGGCTGCAAAAAAAGGAGCCGAGAAAAAGCAGGTGATCCATTTTTTAAATAAGGTTGGTATGATATTCAGGCACCAGCTGTGTCCAATATAAAAAATACTGGTGTAAAAAACAATGTATATAAACTTCATATATAAACCAGAATAAAATTTTTAAAAATTGGAAAGACACTATAATTAAAGGAACCAGGATTGCATGTGATTGACTCAGTGAGTGTGCTTTTTGTTTTGTTTTGTTTTGTTTTGGTACTGGTTTATTTGCAAAGTTCGAATATATTGCTTCTCACACCAGATCTTTCCCATT